AAATGGTCTCTTAAAAGAAAAGAAAAGATGGAGGAAGGAAGGAAGGAAAAAAGAAAGACAGAAAAAGAGCCTGGTGACAATGGCCTTTAAGCACCCTTCAGAACTCATTCCAAGATTAAAATAATCAATCATTCAAAGTCAAAGGGGCAGCATTTACCCAAGGGCAAATTTCAGTGGGTTAGGGAAGAAGGAGTGTCAGGGAGCAGCCCCTAATAAATCGTCCTGGGCCCAGTAGGTGTGATTGTACAGCAATAATAAGTAACGATTATAGTAAAGTCATAGAGAATAAGAACGATAGAAGAGAGATTGAAATAATGGAGTCAGGCACATTTCATGGTAGTATGTTCACCTCAGCCCCGCTTGGTGGTCCACGTGGTGATGGGAGACGTGAGGGTAGGAGAGAGAGGGAGGGGAAGGAGGACAAGGGGAGAGGGGACAAGGGAGAGAGAGCCAGGGGGAGAGAGAGCTCTTTATTACTAACCAAGGCTTATATATCTTTGGGCGGGGAATGCAAGCCCCCTAATTACAGGTAAAGACATACATCACAGGAAGGGGTTATACTATAGGTAATACAGTAATGAGAGGGGGACAATCTAGGGGTATAAACGCAGTAGGAAGGGGAAGGATTGGGGGTACACTTGTGACTAGATGGGCAGATCCTAGATTCAGGATGGCAACCTAACCCTGGATGTCATTGACCTGTTCTCTGGCTCTCCATGGGAACAATTACTATCCTTATCAGTAGTGTGTGAGTCCCACCTACAGTGGACCAGATGCCTTCAGGAGAATATCTCTTAAGCTGGGGAAAAGTCTTTTTATATCCCACAAAGGAGGCATGGAACCAAGAAGCACGGGGAAGAAATGGGATGAGTGATGGTGCCTTGAGGGGATTGCAGTGGATGAGATGAAACCAAGTGTGCACGAATCGTTGAATGTAAAACTGGTGATCTGCTCTGCACACCTTCGCCTCATTCACATGAAAAGGTTCTTTTTAAAAAAAAGACAAAAAGTCAGAACTTGTTCCTATTCACTGAGCAAGGGCAGAAAGGAGGGATGTGTGAGATGTGGCACTAGACATATCTGCTGAGGTTGGGAAGAGTGGAGAAGAGCCACATACACAGCACTTGATGCTCAGAGGTTCTGGTCTAGGACAACAGGCAAAAGGCAAAGCAAAGGGACCCAATATATGCTCATGATCCATGAGGTTCAGTATGGAGAAGCTGCCCCCGCCTAGCTAAGCAGAGCACAGCACCTGGAACTGTAGGAGCCAGTGATATTCTGATTCGTGAAGGGTGACTCTCATAGGGAACTCCAACAGAGATAGCGCGCCTTACCTGTAGTAGGGATCAACCATGACAGTCCAAGCTGGTAAACTTGACGATAAGTAGGAGAACTAAGCAGATTGCTTGGCAGGGAACTAAATACAACTGTAGGGACCCGTTTTATAAGATTAGGGTACTCAGTGGAGCTAGGGCTTCTCAATTACTGGGTCTAACTCTCAAGGTCAGAACACAATTAGCAAGGAAAGTAATTTTGTTCACCTCAGTGTATTTAGCTTCCTAAAACCTTACTGAAATCAAGATTAGTTTTTAATATGGAACCTTCCCCACTTAAGTAGATAGAAGGAAGATAAAATTTGGAGTCTAATATGAATGAGATGCTGAAATTATGTCTCCTTAAAATTTCATAATGTAAACAAATAGGTCATTATTTGATCATGATAGTCATTCATTGTATAACCAGTTCAAAGGTTTTTATTCCTATAGAAATAGTTCTGAAAAGCTAGAACTATGTCAATAAATTATCAGCCATCTGATTCTGAATTCCAGTCTCATTAGCTATAATATAATTAGTTGTTATATTTATGGTTATTTGTATATACATATGTAATTTGCATAGATATGGCTTTCTGTGGTTTGATTGGGATGGTTAGGCCATAATGCAGTTTAACTTTAATCTTCTTGAAAAGATTTTTAAAATCTCCTTACCCCTTTTCGCACATTTCATAAATGTGGTACAAGGCTAAGTCAAAGAGAGTAGTGCTAGAAAATTAAGGAAACATTTCTTAAGCAAAAATATAAAAATGTGAAGCTACATGAAAAATAGAAAAATGTGAAGATATGCCCAAAGTCATATATCTAATCTTAGGTCTCTAATCATTTCCCCAAAAAGCCTTGATAGCTTTTCTTGAGAGGTCCAGGTCACCCTCAAGGTCAACAGTTCAAAGCTACGATAGTCTGGGAGAGAGATGAAGCTGCTGCTCCCATCTAGATTCAGGAACGACAGGGCTTCTGGAGGTCAGAATTGACTCATGACAGTGGATTTGATTTTTCATTTAACCCCTCCCCAAAGAATTCCATGTTTTTTAATTTACACCTTATCTAAACATCAGCTTTGGCACCCTCAAGGGACTCAAACCATGTTCCTTTTCAATGTTCTTTAAAATTTGCAAACAAAAATAAATCTGAATTGGCAAGCCCAGGGCAATAGAGTGAATGCAACAAGGTTTCTCAAGGAAATTCTCCTCGAACAGCCCTTTCCACCCTCAGCAAATGAACAGACGCCATGCTGGAGAGAAAAACTCAGCTCCAGGCTCCTGGACTTTTTTCCACCAATGCACTTTTCAATTTTCTTAGAACTTCTCCACAGTAAGAGCCCAGATTAACCTGTGTCCTTTGAGAAAATCTGTCGCTCTGACTCCTGGGGGATCCTGTACATCATGATCTGTTGAGCAGACCTCTGGTCCGGCCAATCCTCTCCGAAACCACTGCCCTAATTGGAACTTTCCCTGTGGATGGTACTGGTAAATCTAAAACGAACTCATCTCCATTAGCTTCGATCTTGCCTAAAAGGTTACTAGAAAGATACGCGCTTGTTGCTAATTGAAGTCTGTGCCGAAGCTTGTGCCCACCAAGCCAGAGGTTTCTGAGGCTGACGGTCGCGTGAAATTGACAATGGCAGACCACGTGAGAGCCCCGGCTTGGGAAGCTGCTCTGTCGCAGGTATTTCTGCAGCGTCTTCCGTGTGTGGAGCTCAGCCAGGGTCTTCATCCCTTGAGCCTAATCGGCTTCCCTCTCTTAGCTCATCGTTCAGGTCTTCGCTGCCTTCCTTAAAATGTTTGGTCCGGGCAGGTGCTAAGTTGGCTCCCTGCAAGGGCACCCAGGGGCCCGGGTCACATTGCGGAAGATTCCTGCCCACATGGGCAGGGCTGGGGAAGTGGGAAGAACCCGGGTGGCCCCTGAGGGCAGGGAGTCAACCTGGGTCCTGTTTGGCTTGGCTGCCACTGACAGTAAGGAATAAGTTATTGTTCCTGGTACTGGCCAATACCCAAGGTCGCCCACCCCCACCCCACCCAAGGGTCAGCACCCAGAGGTCAGGAGTGTTTCTTATACCCTCCTGCGTCTTGCAGTAGAGGGAAGAGGGGCAGGCCTGCCTCTGTCCCCTGCTGCTGCCACCCAAGCTAGTGTACCTGTGGGCCTTCTAGAACAGACTGACAGGTCTGTCTGACTTACACAGCTGCTCCAGAGGCAGCAGTGAGTCAGCCTGCCCCAGGTGCACAGGGCCCACTGCTGGGGTGTGGGGTGGTGGTGGGAGGTGGCTGGGGCCAGTTTCTGGTGACAGCAGGTGGGCTGTTGTCAACCTTGGTGTCCCGACATAAGGACCTGCCCTTTAACGTGCTCGGGTCTCGCACCCTCAAATTGCCCTCCAACACCCAACTTTGATGACATCCCCCTCCTGCAGCCGTGCCCCCACTCCCCATAGGAACCCGCCAAGCAGTCGGACCCAATTTAGCAACCCACCAGTGTTCAGAGAGAAAAAGTGGTCTTTCCTTGAATGGAAACAACTACTACTGATTCTGTGCTTTGTAAGAGACAAGGGCTGTCTATTTTCGTATCTCGGGGGTTCAGGCCACTCTCTGGAAGTGGCTGAGTCTGGCCACCCACCACTGGCTCTGGTGTCCACGCCTACCTTCTACTGAACCACTTTGATTGGGAGATAAATGTCCTTTTTGATAGAGTGGTCCAGACATTGATTTGAACGATTTTAGTAAGAGGAGTAACTACGTTATGATAGTGTCTATTTGAGGTAGATAAATAAAAAGCCTCTTTGAAAGCCTCAAAAAAAAAAATGCTTGGTCCATCTGAAAAGCTGCTGGGGCAGCACTTCCATAAATTTGTTACAGAGCTTCAATTTGGGAAGATGCGGTACCCACTTGAGTTTTGTTTAAAGATTCACATTAGCCCTGGCCTCAGAATCCCATCTGTCCAGCGTGGAGAGATGTGTAAACACATCTTCTTTGGAATAAACTGCACATGTATGAACTGGGTCCCTAGTAACAATATGTTTTCTTACCCACGTATAATGAAAATGACAAAGCCCTTTTTCATTGTCGGTAAAGCAAAAGTCGATTCTCAATTCAATATGTATGTAATGAAACTATAAAAGAATTGTGTTAAAATTTGGAATGGGGGTTTACGTTATTATTGTTGCTTACATTAAACCACTAATTTTTTTTCTAGTAGTTTTTAACCCTATTCTTACAAATGTACTCTAGAAACTAATCCTGATTAGTTAAGAATTCTGATTAGTTGTGTTTTGGCAAACACACATGACACTCATATACAGAGTATATGAGTATTTAAATTTTGTGTTTAATTATAACAAACTGTAGACACAGAGAAGATAATTAATCCTCAATGTTCCCTTAAATAATATGAATTGTTTCAATGCTCTGATAATCACTCCAAAACAGCCTACTGTTTAATATAACTTGCTTAATGCGCCCATAGGAGTTGGATACATGGCTTTCTTCCTAGTCTTTTTCAAATCTTACTCTAGAGGAAGAGGACTGGATTCTCACCTCAGAACCAAACCAGAACTGTTACTTTCTTATTAAGCATTTTGAAAAGAAGTTATCTGAATTGTGCAAAATATGTGCAAACCAAAGGCAATTTTCAGTGATGGCAAGAAAGTTAAATATGACTTTTTTTTTTACACAGGCCCATGCACAATTAGTTCGAGAAGTTGATGTGGAGAAAGTGTCTGCCTTCGAAAGCCCATATGTAGATGCAATAAAGAGTTTATGGAACGATCCTGGAATCCAGGAGTGCTATGATAGACGACGAGAATATCAGTTATCCGACTCTACCAAATAGTGAGTATTCATCCCGGCAGTACTCTGAATCTCTGCCTTCACCTACTTCCCACTCGGAGCTTCTCTGGGCTACCATCGCCCAGAGTTCTGTGCTGTGTGTCTAGTATCTGATTTGAACCTCGAAATAAGAAGCATCGGTAGGAAACTTGTGCCAGACTCTTAAACTCTAGACAGTATGCCTGGTCAGTGGTCCCCGAAATGAGTGACACTGCACCCGGCGGGGTGGGGGGGCATTGGAATAACCCAGGGAGTTGGGGTGGCTGTTAAAACAGATGCCTATACTATATCCTGAATTTATGGGTTCCAAATGTTTTTGCGGTGGGGGAGGGGCTGCTGAGTAAATTTTTTCCCCCTGAAAGGGGGGTGGTAGGCCAGAGAAGTTTGGCAATGCATGATGGGTGTGACCAGTCAGGATAAATGTTTGTTTTCTGTTTTCGGCTTCAAAAGCAAACCAAAGACCCTAGGAGTCTGAGCCTGCCACCCTAGGTCTCCCCTAATTTGCAAAAGTGCGATTCACAAACACATATTCCACGTTAATTGAAAAATCCTGTAATAATCGTTTGGGGGAGAAATTTCTGATCTTGTTCATGTCCTGGAAGACGTCTACGCAGAGTAGAAAGTGCCGACAAAAACACTCCTTGGACTACGGCGGCTACTGAAAGCATCAGACTTCTCGGGCCGAGGTTCAGACACAGAACCTTGCCTGTGTCTGGGAAGCGACTATTAGGTTGATGGATAGGTTTTCCTTTGCATGAAAATTGTATGTGAGTCTAATTACAGCTGCATCCCAGAATTATTTCCTGGGCTGTTCAAGACTGTGTGTTCTGGGAAAGCTTTGCGTGCTACAGAGATTGGGCCTTTTTCTCCATTCAGTCTTGCCTCCTGGAGAGAAAGTAAAGATTTGGTAATCACTGTATGAATGTGATTAGTGTAGTCAGCAATCTAGATAACCAAGCACCTGAGAAATGGATTTTTGTCATATTTAGCCAGATTTATGCCTATGTTAATTATATAAACTCAACATGCACCTCTAGTTTACATTCTGGGCAAACAGAAGAATGAGTGAAAAATAGTCAGCAGCTTTAGGCCAAGTTTATATGAGAAAACGGCCCAGAGTTGAAGAGCGGGACTTTGGGGAGAAGCTGCCCAGCTAGACTTCCTGGTCTCCCTCGGAATCGAAGGGCTGCTAGGCGGGGTTCTTCTTTTTTCTCCTCATGCCTCCTCCCCCACAGCCCCACCCCCTTCCATAAAGTTGAGGGTGCTTTTATTCTGATTCCAGACGCTGGTATAAGTTAGAATTCAGGTCGCCCACGGAAACATTACTGGGTCAAAATGTATGTTGTATTCTTATGGTAAATTTGAATTACATAATCCAGGAATACAAATTAGGATGCTTGTGAACACCCTGCCCCTTGTCTGCCTCTAAAATATGTGTTTCCCTGCCATTTCTTTTCCTTTCCCTCCTTCCACACCTTCACATTGCTCTTTTTATTCCTAGTCTCTCTCTTCCGCTCTTCTGCCTACTTTCCTTTATCTTGTACTTACCTTCTCCCTCTTTCTCCTCCTCCCTTTCCATGCCTCCCTCCTAAGTGCCTAAGACATAAGTTTCTGGGGACACGGGGATGAAAAGATGCACCCTACTCCTGTCTGTTCCAAATTCTGCCCCCTCGACCTTTGACCAGCTGTCTGGCCTTCTTTCCTGCCCCCTCGGTCCTGTTTCCTCTGCTTTTTCCGTTTTCACCGACCTCCCCAGGTTGCTGGTGTCTGTCATCCATCATTCCTTGTTCCTGTGAATTCTCTTTTCTCCCGTAGGCTTGCCACCTTCCTCTTCAGTCACTCTCGTCCTTCGACTCTTCCCATTGCTACCTCTCACTTTATTACCACGAGGTCTGTCCTGGCTCTTGCTAATAACGCCTCCATCTCCTCGATCTTCTTGTCACGTCTGTACTCCTGCTCTTATCCTTAAGCTGCCTCCTCCCCTTTCCATTTTTTCTAGGCCAGGTAGCGCTGTCAGGCAAGCATTGGACTTCTGTCTACATGGTCAGTGGTTTAAACCTATCAGCTGCTCTGCAGGAGAAATATAGGGCTGCCTGCTCCATGAAGATTTACAGTCTCAGAAACCTATTGAGGGGTGCCATGAGTCAGAATGGATCCAATGCAGGGTTTTGGTTTGAGTTCAAGAGGTCTTGCTAATGTGGACGCAGATCATCACTGTCTAATGACGATGCCCATCCCCCAGTTAAGCCTCCCCTGTAGCTTCCTGTTTTGCCTTCTGCTCTTGGGAGCAGCCCTCAGAGAAATTTCTGTTTACACAGAACACACCTGTCTCAGCGCCTGTGCTTGCTTTCCTGAAACCCGCTCTATCCCTGGTGACAGTCCCTCAGTTTGTGGGGTTTTAAGTAGACAGATACTCATGTGTAATGTAGTCTTTCATTGGTATGGAAATTGCTGCTGCCATTTCTACTGCCTTCTGGGCAAAGTGCTAACAAGATGGTCTCTCCAGATGTTGTCCAGGCCGAGTAGTCCACCAGAGAAGCACATCTACACTCTGAGCACATCTCTTACCCCTGTAACACCGAGCATGACGTTTTCATAACATTTAATTAAAACGTATCTGGTACCGAAATTATAAAGCCAGGATATAGGACACCTGAGAGAGGCCAACTGCTGCCTCTTCCAATGAGGCAGCTTTGATACCTCTTCCTTCACCTAGCAAGGTTATGTATGTGGGTGGAACCTAGAGTTAAAGAATAGATCATTCTTCTTCAATCCTGTTTATGATGGAGTAATAAAATACATTATTTATAAGCAGGTCCTTCTACCCCTAGATATTTCTATGTGCATACCTTTAAAAGATTGAACGTGTTCCTACATGGTGACACCTAATGAGTAACCGGGACTTTTTACCCTTTATGTCTAGTTCCTCCAGATGCCTCAAGATGTCTTACAGAGATGGCCGAGCTCAGGGCCACGCACTGCATCTGCTTGACACATCCTCCAAGGTTCTAGTAAACCACTTTGTATTATCCCAGTTTGCTGAAGAAGTCAGCATGGTTTTCCTGGAAATGTTTCACTCTCTGGATTTTCCAGGTTGCTTCCAAAAGCCAAAACCAGACTCACTGCCATCGCCATCAGACCAACTCACCGCAGTGCTGTCGGGCCGGGTAGAAAACTGCCCTCGTGGGTTTCTGAGACAATCACTGTGGAGCAGAAAGTTCAGCTTTCGCCCAGGTTGCTTCCACTGTGGTATAATTGAACTTCACCCTGAGCGTGTAGTGGGTTACACATTGGGCTGCTAGCTGTAAGGTCAGTGCTTTGAACCCTCCAGTCATTCCTTGGGGGAAAGATGATGCTTTCTGTCCGTAGGGAACCGTTCTCTGCCCTAGGGTTGCTCTGAGTCTGAAATCGCAGTTTTACTTTGGTTTTACTTCTCTCTCTTGTGCTCATAAACGGAAAGTTACACTGAAAGACCTGCATTGTGACCTCCATGCATTGTACATGATGTTGTGGATTTAAGTCAAATCAAGAAATGCCAGGCGCATCCGATATACATACCCTCAACTGAAGTTACGGTTCACCACAGTACTAGGTACATTGTGATTAAGGTATATTCAGGGGCTTTACAAAGTTTTGGAAAGAATGGAATTGAAAGGTAATGGAATTTTCCCATAAGCTTTATGAAGTGCCCTGGTAGTTTTCTTCCTGCTACCCAAACAGTCCCCTGGCTTCATTCGTAACTGTATGGTTCCTAGTTCCCCACTAAGTCCTCGCCTACTTTGAATTCTTGGCCTGAATTACCAAGTAGGATTTACAAAATAACGATTTCCTGCTTTTTCAATTGGCCTACATTTATTAACTAGCATTTTTCTTTATGAGTCCCTGGCAATGATTGCAGATAGTTAGCGTGCTTGGCTGCTACCCCAAAAGTCAGAGTTTTGAGGTCACAGCTCTTATTAGAGAGGTACATGTGTCCATCTTTGTGCGTCCGGAATTTATTACAGGGGTCAAAGAGGAGCTGTAGTTTATCACCCAAGCCAGTCATTTTGTGAAAGAAAAGATTGCTAGCATGAATTACTCTCCAACAGCATGCATGACATGGTACTCGCCCAGACTTTGGGTCACGGCGCTGCTAACCACAAGGTCAGCAATCTGAAACCACCAGTTGTTCCTCTGGAGAAAGTGGTGCTTCCTCCTCCTGAAAAGAGTTAGCATCTCAGAAATCCACAGGGGCAATTCTAATTCCATCCTGCTCTCCGGGGGTGGATTCGAATCCTAATGAACTCAGTGGTAGTGAGTTTGGTTTTGGGGGGTTTTGTAAGAGGTTGTTTGTGGAAACCTGTATTACTCACTCAATCTTAGTTACCTACTTCTGCGATAACAGACAGACTACAAGTGTTTAACAGATCAAAATTTATTTTTTCATAGTTGATGAAGCTACAAGTCTGAATTTCAGGGTGCTGGCTCTATGGGAAAAGCGTTCTCCCTGGCCCTGGAAGAAGGTCCTTGTCTATGTGTTTCTGCTCCTGGAAGATCTTGTGCTTTGCCTTTTCGTCCTCAACTCTGCCCAGCCTTGCTTGTTTAATCTTTTATGTGTCTTTAAAGAATCTGGTTTAAGATCTGCTCTAATGCTAATCTTGCTCCATTAGTATAACAAAGACAACCCCCCCCCCCCCCATCCAATGGTGATAATAGGGTTTAGGATGCACTTCACATATTTATGGGGGAACGCAATTAAATCCTTAACAAGGCGCTGTGGTTCTGATTTCATCCAGGGATGTTTTAGCACTCTTTATAGATCAGTAATTAAACAGCTGCTTCCCTGGCCTACCCTTAATCCCACTGTGGCCAGAGAGATTAAAATCATTGTTCTTCCCAACCGTCCTCTTCTGGCATTTTTCCTTTGCTTTCGCTTTCTCAGAAGTGGAAGTGTTAGGAGCCAGAGAAACCCTCCCAGCACAGAGAAATGGTCCAAATATCTTGGTTCCATTCCTTGTCGCTGA